GGGCATGATGTGCTGTGGTATGGAATACCCCTTTGGCTAGTTTGGGTCAGGTGTCCTGTCTCTGCTTCCTCCCAGCTTCTCCTCCTCCCTGGCAGAGCATGAGACTCAGAAAGTCCTTGGTCATAGTAAACATTACTTAGAAACAACTAAAACCATTAGTGTTATCAGTGCTGTTCCCAGGCTGAAGGTCAAAAACACAGCTACTAAGAAGGAGAAAAATGACTGCTACTGCTGAATCATGCAGACAGCCACAGCTTCTTCGGGCAACCTGTTCCAGTGCCTCACCACCCTCACATGAAAGGACTTCTTCCTTATATCTAACCTGAACTTCCCCTGTTTAAATTTAAACCCATCACCCCTTGTCCTATTGCTACAGTCCCTGATGAAGAGTCCCTCTCCAGCATCCAAAATAGCTTAAGCATTCAGCTCTTGTTATGGCCTCTCCACACACGTGTTCAGAGGTAAATCTAACCCATCCATGTAACAAGGTTTCTTATTTGTGGAAGAAAAGCAATCAGGATTTTGAGATGAAAATTTACAGGTCAAAGGTTATGAATCAGTGTCTTGAGGGAATAAAAATACTGTATAAGGAAAATTGCTGGTGGGTCAAATATATTGTTACGTGCAATTACCTTGAAACCTGGAGTCCAGGTTTCTATTACAGAAAGATATCTCAAACAAATGGGGAACGTGTAACAGGTGTTCATATATATAGAAAAGACTATTCATAATTACAGCTTTTAATACAGATATTGCATGTGTTCCATGTGTATAATTTATACCAGAAAAAAAAATACTAATTCTTTTATTCACTGTAATGAATAAATAAATTAGGAAGCCAATAATATTTTTTTAAAAAAATCATTAAACTGATTAGCATTTAAAGTTGAGTTAAAAATGTATTCTAAATAAGTAAATATTTGTATTGTGGGGATTCATGTTTGAATTCTCTAAGCAAAGAAAGTAATTTATATATCATTAATGAGTTAGTTTTGCGGTAAAAGCAAATGCTAAAGGCATGCCTATGTAGTAATGCTGTTCTTCAGTGGAAAATAACTGAATGGTCATAATACTCATGCTCATCATTAACTTACTCAGTTGCTTTTGCACTGGGTGAATAACCAATTCCACATCATCGAGAACATGTGAGTGCACACATCAACTTCAGTGTGCACTCACAGCCCAGAAATACCCTGTGTCCTGGCCTGCTCAGAAGGAACATGACCAGCAGGTCAAAGAAGGTGATCCTGCCTCTCGTAAGACCCCACTTCAGCACTCTGTGCAGTTCCTCAACATAAGAAGGACACGGAGCTGTTGGAGCAAGCCCAGAGGAGGCTACAAGGATGATCAGGGGCTGGAGCACCTCCCATACAAAGACATGCTGAGAAGGTCAGGGCTGTTCAGCTTGGAGAAGAGAAGCTGCTTGGAGATCTCGTAGCAGCTTCCAGTATCTGAAGGGGGCCTATAAGGATGCTAGAGAGGACTCTTCGTCAGGGAATATAGAAATAGGACAAGGGGTGATGGGTTCAAAAATGAAACAACGGAAATTCAGGTTAGATCTAAGGAAGAAGTTCCTTACTGTAAGGATTGTGAGGCACTAGCACAGGTTGCCCGAAGAAGTGGTGAATGCTCCATCCCTGGCAGTGTTCAAGGCCAGGCTGGACAGAGCCTTGAGCGACATGGTCTAGTGTGAGGCATCCCTGCCCATGGCAGGGGGTTGGAACTGGATATCTTAAGGTCCTTTCCAACCCAAACCATTCTGTGATCATGCAATGTAAAATAACAACAGCATGTCAAGGGGCTATTGCTCAGGGGATCTTCATCTGTTAGAGCCCATGTTCATAAGAGCTTGAATTTGAAATTCTAATGTGCCACACCACATGATGACTTTTTTTGCATGGTATTGTGTGTATTTGGCATTTCTGAGTTGTATGACATGGTTCCTAGATGATGTAATGGTCATTTAGGAACATTCAAGGGTATTGAGGTGATCAAGAAAGTAGAACAGTCCTCCAGACATAAACTCCCAGTGCTGGGCAGCTCAACCGCAATCTGTATAACCTTGTGGCTGCAAAAAGCTTCAGATAATTCCAGTTCCACTTTGATCAAAACTCAAAAGTGTTAGCCAGTTAAGCACCTAGCCTCGTATGGAATCAAAGCTTCATGTTAGTCAATGGGATAAAGTGTTTAAGACTTGTCCTGTACTAGAACCCTCAGGTTCCTCACAATTAATTATTTTCATTTTTTATAACCCTGGAAGATGGAACTATTTCAGGATCATGTAGCTGAGTTCTAATATGAGGGTGCTAGCCCATAAACAGAAAAACTGGTGATGAACAAACTTGTATATGTTCACTTCAAGGCTTATTTGAATGGTGAGACAGAAGAACTCTGGGAGTTGCACACTAGTCAGCTGCATGGAAGAAACAAACAACTCTAACCAAGTAGAGAATTGCGGATAATAGCATTTGTTTCCAGGTGTATCAGACTCAGATGGTTTCTCCTAGGAAAAATCATGCCTCGTAAAACTTTCAGTTAATAGACCTGTAGATAAAGTTGGCTCAGAGTAATTTAGTTTGATTTTTTGGAACTTTTCCCCCAGCAAATAGCCATATGACTAGAAGCCAAGGGCTTTTATTAAACATGAAGTGATTGTACAGCTAGTTACAGAGCCAGGAGAAGGGCATGCGATCTTTATGGGAGCCACACTAACTCCAGCATGACATTCCCAAATACGCAGAGTTCATTATCCCTCCCAGGAAGAAGGTTGATTTTTCTGAGCTCCTGTCTGTGAGAGGAAGAGCTGAATTGGTGGCAAGCTTCAGTATTGCTCTTTGAGCCTCTTTCTTTGCCTCACTAGCACTGAAATGGGAGGGAGACTTGAAGGTTGTGTGTTTGGTGGTTTTGGAGGAACCATGGATGGTGGTGCAATGTGAAACCTCCTCATGTTCTCTGAGGTTGTGAAAAGGAGGGAGCTAGTCCGACACGGGTTTCCCCTGAATGCTACAAAGTAACCAGATGAATTGGTAACTTGAGAGTGGGTAACCCCCTGCTGGCTGGAATGGGGAGGAGCAGTGCCCTGGCCTGCAAAGTCTTGCTCGTCGGTTTGCAGCTGAGTCGAGGGGAAATGTGTGCAGTCAATTCCAGTCTTTCAGGCGAGGAATTAGTTCTTCATCTCTTGGAGGTTTTTTAGCTGTGAAGCTGAGGTGCATTACTTTTTCTTGGGCTGAAATCTGCTTGTGTCAGAGAGAAGAATAAATTTATGAGAAACAACTTTTTCATAGAGATCTGATGAAATTGCCCATTCAGCGTCTGGTGCACGGACTTAATTCCTGAGGAATAGAAGCATTTCACTAGAGAACTTTGTCACACTCTAGGCAGTCTAAACACAATATGAGACAGTGTGAGGCTGAGCATCAAAACAGGACAAAGGCATTCCAACTTGTGGAGGTAAGAGAACCTCTGGCTCTGAAGAGCCATGTGTTATTTGGGTAGCTGTTACAGGTATCCTGAATTTTCAGCGCTGTCCTCCTGGGCTCCAGCTGCCCTAAGGTGCTGGCTCTGAGTTAAGTTGTATTCAGAAGCAGATGCATCGGGCTTATTCAGAGCTTGGGTAGGCAGAGCACGCTGAATTTGCCCTTGTATCATTTTTCTTCCTTTAGTTACTGGTACAGTGTTCAGCTGGAGACTGGTAATTACTAGCATCACCAGACCAATTGTATTGCTTTGCCTGTCATTTGTTCTTTCCATTGAATACCTGTGGCTTCTTTGTGAATGACGCTGGCAAGAGGTTGCAGTTTCATCCTTGGTGGAGCCCAGTGGTGCCAGCACAGTGCCATGAGCTTAGAGAAAACACCAGGGGATGTCTGAACAGCAATTCTGCTAATGCCAGTTCTTCAGATAGCCCGATGATAGCTGCCTCAGGTGTGCTGACAACCTAGGGTTGTGCACTAGCTATGTAAGAAATGCTAAATGTTGATTGAGCCAACAAAATGCAGCTTTGATTGTGTTGGCAAATACCAAAGACAGAGCAGACTGTTGACACCAGCAGTTGAAACACAGCCTTAGGCATGCCAGGATGACAGTGTTTGTGAAGATTGGCTTGTCCTAAACATTGTGGTTTATGAAAACCAGCAGCAGCACCTACAAAAGACACACACAATTAACCTGCAAAGTTTTGTGGCAACTTAGTTTGCAACCAGTATGCACTTAGCCTAGTTTTGTTGTAGTTTTCATAGTCGGTGCCTTGGTAACTGTTTTACAGCTTTGTGCTGTAAAATGTACAGAATATGATTTGCCTTCCTGATGAATATTTTGGTAGTAGGCACTTCATTTCCTTAGATTACCCCCTACTGTGTCTTCATTCTCACTTTCTCCTTCTGTTTCCTTGATCTTTAGGGGAAGAAGGGAGAAGTGACTTTGTATTTAAAAGTGAAAATGTGGTAACTCCTTTTTTACTTCGGTCGTGTTTCATTGTGCTGAAGCACCAGTATCTGTTTTATCAACCCTCTGAGCAAAGTGCTCATTCCCCTCCTGGCTTCCACACGAGGGGTTCTGGGAGGCAAAGAAGCTTGTTTTGTGCTCTGAGAAATGCCAAACCCACACTGCCTAGACATTAGAGGTCTGCAAATGCTGCAGGCCAAGTTCTGTTCATAAGGATATGTAAGGGTAAGTTCTGTGTTCTTTCCCTGGACCTCTGATATGCTCTCTGAAAACTGTGTTGGCTCTCCAGGAGTATCTGTCTGTGACCTCCCCCTTTACATCTGTGCCCTCTCAACTGCTGGCAGATGTGCCAAACTGTGATGTAGAGACCAGGGTGTTACAAGGACATTAATTTATTGAAAATCATCACATAGGTCTTACAAAAAGCCAAAAGAAAGATCAAAGCATTTACTATTAATTTGAAACTGCATAAGAAACACCTCATCAGTGACAGAATAACATCTATTCAGGAATGCTGCTTGGTAGATGGATCTTGTGGGATGGACTTGCTTTTCACACTGCTTCAAGATTCACTGGAGGTTGGTATCGTGGGCCATGTTCCTTCTGATTTCATGTAAAACAAAGTTGCAAATGTTTGCTTTATCTCGGGGGGGGGGTGAGGGGGAGGGAAGTTATACTAAATTTAGAATCATAGAATGGTTTGTGTTGGAAGAGACTGTAAAGATCATCTAGTTCCATCCCCATGGGCAGGGACACCTATATAACGTCCCAATATTTGATTTTGTCATGTGAATTGATTGTTTTGCCAAAGAAGAAGAATGCTGTAGTTGAGCATGGTGCAACCCTGTAGTTGAGCAAGGTGTAAAGCAGCAAAGAAATGAGCTAGAGGCAGGGGCTGGGGGGAAAAGTCTTTTAAACTCTTGCAAAAGGACTGTGATGGAAGTTACTAACTTCAACCTTTACATCCTCTAGGGTGATTAGTGAATAACCTAAAATGCTAATTGATCTGAGTGGGAAGTGGAAAGCCCCTGTAATCCAATTAACCACAGAGCACTGGATGCCTCCTTGTCAGTGCAAAAGCAACTCCAACACATGCTCAGCTGTTACTCTTTCACAACCAGTACTACAGTTGTGACTCCCAGGCTCCTGCCAGCAAAAACATCCGCTGGGTTCATTTTGCCACCAAATATTTTTACACTTCTGCGCTAATAAATATAAACTCCCCTAGCTGGAACAGACAAACACAAAGATGTCTATTCTGTTGATGACTGCATTTTATTCCCTGACATGTAAGAATCTGTGACAGTTGATGCAAACAATGGAAGAGAAACAGGTGGTCATGAGCCTTCTGTGGAACACAGACGGATAACATATTAGGGAGTACCCAAAATGTTCTGGTATTATATGTGCAGTGCCTTCATATGGAGTTGCTGCTTTGCTGTGTGCCATGGAGCTGTTGGAGCAAGTCCAGAAGAGGCCATGGGGATGATCGGGGCTGGAGCACCTCCCATACAAAGACAGGCTGACAAGGTTGGGGCTGTTCAGCTGTATGGAGACCTCATAGCAGCCTTCCAGTACGTGAAAAGGGCCTACAAGGATACTGGAGAAGGACTCTTCATCAGGGAATATAGCAACAGGACAAGGGGTGATGGGTTCAAAAATGAAACAACAGAAATTCAGGTTAGATCTAAGGAAGAAGTTCTTTACTGTGAGGGTGGTGAGGCACTGACACAGGTTGCCCGAAGAAGTGGTGAATGTTCCATCCCTGGCAGTGTTCAAGCCCAGGTTGGGCAGAGCCTTGGGTGACCTGGTCTAGTTTGAGGCATCCCTACCCATGGCAGGGGATTGGAACTGGATGCTTAAGGTCCTTTCCAATCCGAACCATTCTATGATTCTATGATTCCATGATTATGTGACTGATGAGGGGCTGAGGGTGCCCTGGCCCAATGCTCCAGTGTTTTGCCGTAGGCAGGAACATTGTTTAGCTGAAAGGTTGGTGCAGTGGCAAGTTCTTGTTTGGATGGACCTGCCTTCAAGGCTTCATCTCAACTCTCTTTAAGAACATGCCAAGCATTTAAGTATTGAAAATATACTTGTTTTCAACACTCTGGAAGGCTTACACAGCTGAGCTCTCAGATATTTATGTTTGACGTCAATGGGAATGTTGCCTGGATGTAGGATTAGAACCACCTTGCTGTGCTCTGCTCTGAGCATCAGTGAGGAGCTGTGTACGTACCTGCTGACCCACTGCAGTCTCCCGCAGGCCTGATGCCATGGTTGTGATATCAAATGCCCTTACAGCAGCATTTGATGAACTGCTGCAAAGGAATGTGCATCCCACACGTTGTCATAACAGTGCTGGTTTGTAGGTAAGGCCGTTTCTGCTGACATGGGACAAGTGCATTTGGGCAGCATCACGGGCTGTGTTTCTGTTTGGGGTCCGTAATGCTGGTGTCTTATTTCTTGTTTGTATTTCTGTGGCACCCCATCAAGGGCCAGGGCTCTTGAGAGCTGTGTGTTGTAAAAACTTGGGTTTGTGTGGCCAAGAGGAAGAATCCGTGCTCAAACTGAACAGAGCTCTTGATACACTGGGCTGGATTAACCAGTTGACAGGCTTACTATGTAAGCAAGCAAGATAGAAATGTCTGAGGGAGAGGAGCTGAGTTGAAGAGGAAGGTTGCTGAGGCAAAGGTGAGCGTCCACAGGTAATTCCAGATGAACACCTAGATGACCTTAAGGTCCTTTCCAACCCTAACTATTTTATGATTCTATGATTACAGTCTTGTGGTGTGCTAAGAATTGCTGAGCCACTCTGCCAGAATCTTAGGGAATACACAGCATTTACCACACTGACACTGCCTAGAAACTAGTGTGTTCCTTCTGAATGTACCCATATGGTCATTTTCATTTCCTACCTTTTCCAAGCACTGGAGCTTCCTCTCCAGTATTTTGTGTCGGATAATGACAGGCTGGGTAAAAGGCTTAGGAATATTAGGCCAGGCTATGTTCTCTTCTCCTAATCTGTAATATGAGACATTCATAGCCTGTCTCTGCATTAGGTGGGTTTTTACCCACTAATTTGATAATAAAAAAGTTAAGGAATAAGAAGTTCTTGGCTTCTGTGATGACAGGTTAAACAGGTATCTCTGATAACTCACTTCCAGACAAGTGCAGGGAGTCAAAGGACATAGGAAATACAGGTGGGAGCTTTTTCTTCTTCTCGTTGTTTGCCAGTGATTGATAGACAGATGTCTGGGCATCTGCTTGCTTTATGCAATTAAAACAAATGCTGGACCAAATCAGAAACAAAAATGTGGTCTTGGTGTCTGCTTGAGTTCTCACCACAGGCCAGCTGGGTTCACCCCTTAGTTTCTAACAGCAAGTGCCATTTTTCTACTCTCTAGTGGCCAGCTTGAAGGTGTTTTTGTCAGGTAGTATGATTTGAAAGTACTGCATTTGAGACAATGGATTTCTATCAGTTTATATCTATTGCAGATGAATAGGTATTACGTATAACTGCTTTTACCTGTGAAGAGGGATGAGCTGTATTTATCTTGTCACTTGTGTCTATGAGATGTTAAAAACATTTGTCTACAAGAGGTCTTTTCAATCCACCATCACACTTCAAACAGTAGGGCAGCCTTCATAGCAGCCTTCCAGTATCTGAATAGGGCCTACAAGGGTGCTGGAGAGGGACTCTTCATCAGGGACTGTAGGGATAGAATAAGGGGTGATGGGTTTAAACTGAAACAGGGGAAGGTCAGGTTAGATATAAGGAAGAAATTCTTTACTGTGAGGGCTGTGAGGCACTAGCACAAGTTGCCCAAAGAAGTGGTGAATGCTCCATCCTTGTCAGTGTTGAAGGCCAGGTTGGGCAGAGCCTTGGGTGACATGGTCTAGTGTGAGGCGTCCCTGCCCATGGCAGGGGGGTTGGAACTGGATGATCTTAAGGTCCTTTCCAACACAAACCATTCTATGATTCTATGATCACTGTCCCCCACTCAGGTGAGTGTTGTCTTTACTGCAGTAATGGTAATGCACATACAAATTGGTGTAATGAGATCAGACTAAGCTACTCTGTGATTATGGTTTACATAGAATCAGTACCTTTTACTTCTCTAACATGTCTTATAGGACTTTCCACTTTGGAAAAAAACAGTTTTCTGTTTAAATCTGACTGCTATAATTGTAGCTAAATCCAGTGCTCTGATTTAGTGTGATTATATTTCTCAAACACAGATGTTCTAGAAATTTGCATTTTGTTGACATCAATATTTCATTTTATTTTCATAAAGCTCAATTTAATTTTTCTGAGGACTTACCTAAATAAGAACATGTGTGTAGCTAAGCTGTGTTCCTCCCGCAGCCTCTTGGAATTGTTCATTGCTTCTGGGTGGTCACTATCCTTAATGGGTGTTTTTATACAGTGGGGTATATAGTGGGAGCTGTCTTATATAAATGAGAATACAATAGAATCCTGTTTGCAATTAAGATGTTTGAACTGTCTCACTGCAGTTGTCCATCTCTTCCTGTGGTCAGCACAAGGAAATTGATCTGTTGTTACAGTTACAATTTGGAATATGTTTCAACACAGAAATAAAAACTTTACTTTGAGGAAAGGGGAAGCATTCATCTTGTGAGGCCTGAGAACTCCAAATTTGAGCATGGATGGCAAGCGCCATATCTTAAACCCTTTAATACTGAGAGGAAATACATGAAAAGCTGCATTATGCATTTTGCTTTTTATCAGTCCCTACTTCTTTTCTGTCAAGATAAGCAGAGTCCAGTTTTGTTTCAGGGCCAGACAGCCAAGGCTGTTCCTTGTGCTGTCATCCTAAAAGATGCTGCTGCTGCATCCGTCCATGCTTACTCCACCTCAAGCATCTTTGCAAACGAAGACATGCTGCAGTGCAGATCTGTGACAATGCCCCCAAACTCAGATGCTGGTTTCACAGTATCACACACAGTATCACAGTATGTTAGAGATTGGAAGGGACCTCAAAAGATCATCTAGTCCAATCCCCCTGCCGGAGCAGGAACACCTAGATAAGGTTACACAGGAATGTGTCCAGGCAAGTTTTGAATGTCTCCAGGGAAGGAGACTCCACAACCTCCCTGGGCAGCCTGTTCCAGTGTTCTGTCACCCTCACTGAGAAGAAGTTTCTTCTCAAGTTTAAGTGGAACCTCTTGTGTTCCAGTTTGTACCCATTACCCCTTGTCCTATCATTGTTTGGGCCAGTGCCATGTGAATGGTTCTAATAAAAACCAAACCTGCCTAAATATCGGTGCTTGAAGTTTGCCAAACCACGTTGCATAATGTCATTTACTGTTTGGTTTTGAAATAGTTGAAGTGTTGATGAGTCCTTCCAGATCCACTCTTACTGAGTGCCGTAGCAGGAACCCCCCTGGTTCATATTTTGGTTTAGGGGTTCCGAATCTCAGAGCTATACCTGTGGAGATGGAATCCATTTTTGGAGGTGCTACTCTGCTTTGAAATGCAGTTGTCCCTGATAATGTAGTGGGATAGAGGAATGCTCAGAGATGACGTTGATGTTGTGTATTTCTGTCTTCAAAAGGTTGAGATCAGTTTGACCTTATGCCTCGTTTGGAGCA